TAGGAAGAGTTCCTGGAGGAGTAATCGAGGCTGAAATCCTGCATAGTGGAGTCTGATTAGAGCAAGTGGGTAGTCCAATCGACATTTGGGATCGTGAAGTATGGTGGTGTGACCCCATAAATCCTGGTGAATCTCGGCCGCCGCCCTGATCGTGGGTTCTGCGCTTCTGGCCGTGGAGACGCATTTATTGTTTCTGATAGTTGGTGACCCAATCTCCCAAACTGCAAGAATTTTTGTGAGAATGTCTGCGTCTAATCACTCTGTTTCCTGTCTCCACAACCTGACTTCAGTCACTTCCCACCTTCCCTCGTGCATTAAATGCTTATTTGTGGCCAGTGGGTTTGCTGCAATAACCAGAGGCATTACTTCATTAAATGAAGCATGGGACCCTGCTATCACGTGATGATTTGATTTTTAATACCATTGGCCGTGATTTTGTTCGGCCTCGGCCTCGGCCTATTATCGAGGCCGAGATGATCGTGCCTTAGCAACTTTTCTTTTGTCTTCAGGAGGGCCAAACATCTTGGCGAAACGCTGCGTTTGAGCAAATGCCAGGGCTGAGAAAATGGGCTCCTTCGGTCAGTTCATGGCCGTGATTTATTAGGCACAAACAGATTTTATGAAAGGTAATTCAATTAGCTTCAAGGATAAAGTTTTGTTGATTGAAATGGTTTTATCATCAATTAGGGCATATATAATTAAGAACTGTAAAGAATAATCATTTGTTCTAAAATTCAGATGAAGAGCCTAATTATTAATCACTACATGAGAGGCATGTGACCTTAAGCCTAATTTTATTCATTGTACTTGATCTGACTCTATAAAATGGATGTGTTGTTGATTACAATATTACTTTGAACCGTTTGGTTTTCTCTTGAGGGCTTTTTTCTTGGATATTTGGTGCTTCAAGTGATGTCTTATTATGTTACTGTTTTGAGTTAACTGGGAAAAATTATATTTTTGTTTTATGATGATTAGTGAAACTTAGAGGGCGAAGGCATATGCTATTTTGAGTTTGAAGACTAATTTGGACTCAAGCCCGTGAAAAATATAGTGTCTAACTAATTCTGTTTTCTTTTTTGCAGTAGGATAGATAAAAATCTTGCTTCTGCCTTCATTTTTTTTTCTGACTTGTGTCATGGGTTGACGTAAATTTAATCTTGAAAGCCTTGTTTTATCATCTTCAAGTTACTTTTTGTTTTCCTTAATCTGTTTTAAGGTTTGCATATGTCCCCTGAAAGTATTTCTCAATTTCTTTTTGTTGGGAAAATGTAGAAGGGTGAAAATCCTACATACATTAGCAACTGGAACAACATGCATATGCATACGGATAAGGGCATTTCGATCAATGAGGCTGCTGAAATTAAAGAGGTAAGGGGGAGTTCCTGTTTTCACAAAATGGTTGCTGGCCATGTCCTGTTATGCATAGACCTAGCCATGTTGCGTAACCCAGTTCAAACTAGCACCATTGTTGGGCCATTAAATGTAGTCTATTTTTCAGGGCCAAGATCTCTCTTTTTTCTTCTCTTTCTTGTTTTAAATCTCAAAACTGCTCTAAAAGGTCCGGACCAAAAAACCCAATTTCTATCCAATGAAACTTTAAAAGAATAATTGCTATAATATTGCTAGTTGCTTATGTTTGCTTCCAGTCCATAGATGTAATGAATCAAGTCTAATGAAATTAAGTTTTATCCTATGATTGTGTCCCTTTTTTTTTAAAAAAAAAACACCTTGATTCTTAAACTGAACTATGGGATTTTTTTTTTATAAATTTTTTTCCAGAGTAGTGCTGAAGTCTGTTTTGGAAATTGTTTTTGACATGCTTCCTTAACTTCAAATGCCATGAAATTTTGATGTGATAAAGTTTAATGTTTCTGGTTCTGATCTGGAAAGTTTCGTACTATTACACACACTAAATTTTTAGTGAATTTCCCAAGTTGAAGTGTTCTTGCCCAAATTGTTTAACAAAATATTTATTTGGTCATCTATGATTTATTGAAAGCTACTTCATACCCTTTTTGTTGAATTGTCTGTTATGCTTAGCAATGGTTGAAGACCAAATTGAAGTGCCTCGAAAATTAGGAATGTCGGGCTATGTGCTTAAGCAAATTCTGTGCCTTGGGCTTGAAAATATGATAAAGAAATATCTTCAAGACTTCTAGTTTTTCACTAGAATCATCCTCTATTAGCTTGTGTTTTTACTTTGAAAGAATTTTTCATGTTATTTTATTTCAATTCAATCCTCTTTTTCTACATTTAGATCTCTTTTTATTTCAATTCTTCATTGTATTCTAGTGGAAGCTGAAAAAGTCGTTGTTCATTGTTTCTATTTGCATTGAAAACATTAAAACCAATGAGTGATTGCCTTATTTGGGTTTGTGGTTCTCTTTATCTTATAATGTGTTCAGAACAATAAAGGAGTTTTACTGAGGTAATATCCTATTTTTGCATGTCAGATTATTTGAGGAGGTGGAAGGATTTGGGTTGTTGTTTTGGACAGAGGACCATTTGAAGTAAGAACCTCTTCTCATTACACTCAGTTCCATTTGTTTTTCTTATTAACAGCTATAGTGGTTGTCAATGTCATTGTGGTGTTGTTTGTTTAAAGGTATTAAAATGGCATGCGTGTTTTGTATTGTGTTGAGAGGTTATGCAACCCATGTTGGTTAAGGTGTGGATTATACTTTGGTTTTTATGATTTATGTTTTCTAATGGGTGGGTTGTGCTATGCATGATATTAATCTGTACGTTGGTTTTTCAAAACTGTTTTCCTTATTCATTTGTGGTATTTGTTATTATCACAAAGGTATGCTTTGGATAGTTAATATTGAGAGGTATGAAAAATGAATTCAAATTTTATTAAGTTTGTTCAAATACCATTCTCGAACATTCTTAAATATTAATGACATGTAATCATTTTTCTTATGTAGATCCAAACTCTTTTCAATGTCTTATTTAATTAAGATTGTCAATTTCCGCTTTTGGGCAAGATTTCTTGTAATTGTGTTGTTAAAAATTGTTTATTTTTGGTCTCTCTATATATATATTTTATTTAAATATTCTTGATTTTGGCATCTTCTTGACCGTTGGCATTTCCTTGTTTTGTTTCTTTTGTAAAGGAAGATGATTGATGAGTTTGAGAAGATCAAGCAACAATTGGCAGAGTGTTTGGGAAATCCACGATATTAGATCACAGTCCCTTTCCCACGTGTTGAAGATCATGCAAAACTTGGAATTACAAAAGGCATAGTATACATGTATTTTTTTTAGTCGAACCTAGTCTTAGAGTGGGGAAATAATTGCTTCAGAACTTGGGTTTACCAAGGGCAAGAATATATGGAGCTTGGCCTCCAGTCTTGAGTGGAGAGTTCTTCACTCGTTTATTTCTACTATTTTTGGATATGTTATGTGTATTTGAACAACTAGTATGCTCTTGTGTACTTTTGAATGAGAGAAACTTTGCTTCATGTCATTTTCTATTGTTCTGTTTATCTAAATTTATTGTTTTTCGAAATTACATTATCTTAATGAAGAAAAGGTTAATATTATCACAAAATAGAATATAAATAAAATAATTAAAACACTTCAAATATACATATTTTAGAGACCAACTAAGTAAGCTTTAGCGACCAAATCTGGTAGTCGCCAGAAACTATCGGCGATGAACCCATATATTTGGTCGCCCAATCCTTTCTCAATTCGTAGGAACTTATATTTATAGGCGACCAACTGATAACTGTATGGCGACGAAATAAATTCGTCGCAGTAAATATTTTGGCGACGAAAATTTGTTTCCGTCGCCTTTTGTCAATTAGACTTTCAGCCACTAGCTTTAGGCAGCCAATCTAGCGACGAAATTATTTCGTTGCTAAGGGGATTTGGCGGCGAAATGTTAACTTTTAGCGACCAAAGGTGATGGTCGCCAAAAGGGTTTTTCCTTGTAGTGATACGTGATTGTTGGAACTTCGGGAATGCTTATTATTATTACTATTATTATTAGTGCTATTAATATTATTTATAAAGGATTATGGTGACTTTGGGTAATAGTTAGAGTTAAGGACAGCTTTGATAGAAGACATATTATGTTATCAATGGGCAAGAAAGGTTGTTTTATACATTAAATCATCCTATATTATCTTTCAATATGTAGAACAACCATAGTCCAAGGAATACACAAGTGGATATGAGAGCTATGTAATGAGATTGCATACATGGAGACTTCTCATCATCTCTAAATCCTGAATATGTTCCTGGTCATAGGAATATTGATTGGGCGTCAATATTCCGCAAAGACCAATACACACAGTATCATCTCTATATGTAGGGAATGGCAAGGTCTCAAGTCATTAAGTGCGGAGACACATCGATATGTGTGTAGGTGCTTGTAGAAGAACAAGTACACTGAACACGATCCAACACACGAGTTACAATATGGAAGTCTTTACTCACATGTCAAGCTGGAACTCATAAATTGTAATGGTGCAAAATAATCCTTAGACCTGAGGCATCATAGATGTTTTGTAGCTATGTTGTTAATTTTTGAGGACACTATACAGTCATGCTGAATTAGGCATAGTTTAAAGGTGCTCATCAGGATTCTTAATAGAGTCATGGAAGCAAATGAATGTACAACAAGGAATCTCTACTCTCAGTAAAGGAGAGAGAATACTCCAAGATATGATTGGTCAAGTCTCTGCGCAGAGTAGTGGATAAGACTTGAAAGAAGAAATCTTCAAATCTTACCAAGATAATCATATAAAAGGAATGATTCCCATTAGGATATTGACAATCGGATTCCATGATCTAATAATATGAATAAGGAGTATTGACATAAGAGAAGGATTCAATTGCACGGTCATTCCAATTTGAATAGGTTCTTTCACAACATCTCATTTAGCTCGGATAACCGTGACTCGCTGCTAGGCGACAACCATGGTTTGTGGATGTCCTAAAAGGTTTCAATTAACCTTTATTAATAGGAAGAATTAAATTGTGGAATTTAATTCATATATCATCTTTAAGGAGTTGAGTCAACCCACTACCTTGCTAAAGGGAACCTACGGATTTGCAAACCCAAATAATGTGATTAGAGGTACAAATGAGGAGACACAAGTCCATGGTTGATAATCAAATGTCAAAGTCAACGGTCAAAAGTCAACATGTTGACCGGAGCAATTGACTAAAGTCAAATACTTCAACCAGGTCAATTAAGTAAGACTATAATTATAATTTAATAGTTAAATTATAATTAAAAGATTAATTATGGAATTAATATTGATATAGAAATATTGGATTGGGCTTTTAAATATGATTTAAAATGAAAGGGACAAAATAGCCCAAAAGGCTATTGGGCCCAAGGGATAAGTGACATAAGATGACATGACCCATGGACCAAATGGAGCCCCAAATACTCACCCAATTGCCTTTTGTGTTGTCCTATGTAAGCTAAGTGTTTGATAAAACCTAGTAAGGGTTTTTGGTTTCCTACTTTGGTTGATGAGTGATCATCTTTGTATCTCATCTTAAACCAAAAATTGGTCCAATCAAGAAGTAGACTAGCATCCATACTTCTTGATTGCCTTCTCTTCATCTTTAGGAGCATTTGGTGTGGTGAGGTAGAGGAGTCTAATCTTGGAGCCTTAAGGTGAAGGAGTCAAAATCAAGAGAAACAAAAGGCCTTTCTAACAAAGGTGTTCATTCTTGATAAATCAAGAAAATGTCATCAAGGGTAAAGATCTATTCCCTTTTTCCTTTTTCTATTTGTGTTCAAAGAGAATAGGCTAAGATACTTTGTTTAAAATGAAAAACGTTTAGCTCAACTAGTACAAACAAAATGAATCTGCCATTTAGAATGTTTTTGTTGTATAAGTTGTGACTAAAGTTCATTTCCCAAGCATTATATGTATGTTTCCTTTACGCAGAGCCCTATAAATACATGGCTACATTCAACACACAAGGTTATTCTAAACTCAATTTCGAAACCCTAAAAAAAAAAAAAACCCTAAACCTCTCTCCCTCTCCTAGCCGATGACATCCCTAGCCGCCGGCCTCACCTCTCTCATCTCTCCCATATGACTAAGTGCCACTACACATGGCTCAGGCCACCCAGTTCTCCGCATAGGGAAAACTCCGTACCCTTTTTTAGCTATTATTTCTCAAGGATTTAATCGAACTAACTTAGGCATCGGAGGGCCTTTGGCCAACACCCCCATGTGTGGTCTTTTACTCCAGTTTGATTTTACAGGGATTGAGGAAGAGAGAGAAGGAAGCTCAAGAGGTGGAGGATCTAAAAGTGAATATTCTCTCGTGAAAAATTTGCACAAACACATGTCATATGATTTCACTTTTGTAGAAAAGGCTCTATCTGCGATTGTAGTGAATGCAAGTTTGATTCATCTGCATATCATTGAAGGTTGCTCTACTATTTCATGTGTGCATTTCATCACCTTAATGTTTGAAACATATCACTTTCCATTCTTCCAACTAATATGCTCTCCAAGCTTCAAATATTGACGATTTCAACATTTACTCAACCAATATGAGAAGCACCAGCTTATAAAGAGGAAAGGGATTGCAATTTAGGGTTCTTTAGGGCTGTTGTTTCAGAAGGAAGATGAGTTTCACAATTGGGGAAAATAAAACCAACCTAAAAAGACCCATTTACCCCTAAATTTAACGAAAAAATTGACAGAATTGACGGTGGGACCATTTGTCCTAACAAAACTGAAGTTAAAGGACCACGGGAACGATTTTGGAAATTAAAGGACCAAAATGCGAACCGGGTCAAAGTTCACGAACCATTGAACTATGTGGTAAGCCTAACATTACCCTTAGTTTATATATACTAAAGAGAATGGCCCAATTGATGACGATTTCTTCATCAACAAGTGAGGGAAATTAAAATTGGGACTTTAAATATTTGGAATAAAAATACTTAATGACATATAAAGGACCCATTAGTGCAGGGGCGGAACTAGCCCAAAGGCTGCTATGGGCTGTAGCCTAGGAAGGTTTTGGGGAAAAAAATTAATTAAACATATATAGCCTAATATTTTAAACAAAAAGTAAATAAAAAAATATACAATTGCATATTCCACCACACCAATAGGCATAGTCAAAGGTCTTCCACATTTGTATTTGGTGGCAAAGTTTGTCCCAAACATCAATTTTAATCCTTTTTCCATTAACGTATCCCCAAAAGAGAAGCATTTTTCTAAATAAAATTCACCATTTCGTGAATAATCTGGCTCTAATTCAATTTTTTTTTTCCTTGTGTTTACAAATTTAATGTATACTTTTATTTCTAAAAAAATATAGTAACTGTTAGTTTAAAAAAAAAATTATCATTGGATTTTAATTTAATAACTTTAGCTAGCCCACCCATTGAAAAATTCTTGATTCCGCCCTTGCATTAGTGTAGTGGTTTGGAGTAATTGCTCCCCCAGGCAAGGTCCTAGGTTCGAGTCCTAGCATCCATGTTGTGTGTTAGTTCAGTATATAAAAAAAATAAAAATACTTAGTAGGGTGTATTCAATTGTGATTTTAATGGATTGTTTTGAAGCTTAAAAGTACAGCGGTATTCAATTAGGATTTTTAAGTAATCAATAAAAATCTGGTGGTATTCAGTTAGGATTTTTAAATCATCAATACAAGTCCAGTGGTATTCAATTAGGACTTTTAAAAGATAAGAAAAAGTACCGTGATATTCAAAAATTTACTGATTTTGAGGTATTTCATTAAATGGTATATTGTGTGAGACTTTTGAGTGTGTGATATAAATACCAAATCACATAACAAATCTCATCTTCCTATGCCTGATTCTCATATAGAGAGACGATAAAGAAACATTAACAAGAGAGACGATATTAGCTTCTTTGGACCAAAATTATATTTTTGATACTTTTTTTTTCTCAGAATCTCCTACTCATTGTAGATATTTCCTCACAAGGAGTTGTAGCCCTCCACAACTCTATTGGTGTGCCCACAAGTTGCTTGATCTAATGCCTCAAAGAGGCTCTTTTTTTTTTTCCTTTTTTTTTTATGCGTAGCTGCTGCACGTACAGCACACATCAGCTAAATATTTTTTTCTAATTCACTGTCCCGAAACGTTCAGGACCAGGACAAAACAAAAAAAGAAAAAAGAAACCTTACCAACAATCTAGAAGAAACGTTGATAGGGTGCAAGGGGTTTTTTTCACTCCACATTTTTGGTCCAAGCTTTAACAAAAACTAGGAGTAGTCATGGGTTTGGGCTAGGAGTTTTCAGTATGTTCCTTTATTTTGTTTTTCTAGTGCTATCTGTTTTGCATTTGGTGTTGGTGGCTATGGATGAGCTTCTAGCCTCTGCTTATGCTTTCGTATTTCTATTGGTGGTTTCTCAGTTGTGTTGTGTTGCAATGAAAGTTCATTTTTTCGACCAAAAAAAAAAAGTCATGGGATTGAGCGAACATGGCTAACTCAAATCCAATCCAC